GGACAGGAGGTGACTTTCACCTGCCCCCGATGCAGGGTCCATAAGAACAATGAGAAATAGGAACAGGAGAAGACCATTTGGTCCCTTGAGCTTGCTGTGCCATTTAATGCCCTCAATCAAGGTATTGGTATGTCTACAGTGTTGGGGTAATTGGAATTCCTTATTTATTTTTTGAAGGAGGAGTAGAAGATGATTGCAATGGTCTGGAGGATTCCCTGGAAGATAGTCATTATATTGTTCATATATATGGTAAACACCCGAGATACAGCCAAGAAGAAATTAATGTCAAGTCATAGTAAAATCAAGTTTATAAACATGGTTGAAGGAGTTAATTTTATTAAAGGGCTATAAAGGAATGAGAGAAACAGCAAGTTGCAGATGTACAGGATAGTAGTTAGACTATTTACTAGATCATAGAATCCCTACAATGTGGAAACAGGTCTTTTGGTCCAACAAGTCCACATTGAACCTCAGAGCATCCCACCAGGACCCATTCTCCTGTAACCCGCCTAAGCTACACATCCCTGAACACTATGGACAATTTAGCATGGCCAATTTAACCTGCACATCTTTGGACTGTGGGACGAAACTGGAGCACCCGGAGGAAACCCACGCAGACACCGGGAGAATGTGCAAACTCCACACGGACAGTCGCCCGAGGGTGGAATTGAACCCAGGTTGCTGGCAGTGTGAGGCAGCAGTGCTAACCACTGAGCCATGTGCCGACCCTACTTTTGGAATACTGCATTCAGTTCTGGTCTCCCTACTATAGGAAAGATGTGGTGGAACTTGAAAGCGTTCAGAAAAGATTTATGAGGATGTTGCCAGGGTTGGAGGATTCGAACTATAGGGAAAAGCTGAATAGCCTGGGGCTATTTTCCCTGGCGCAATGGAGGCTGAGGGATGATCTTTATAAAGGTTTATTAAATCATGAGGGGCATCGATAGAGTGAATAGCCAAGACCATTCCCCAGGATAGAGGAGTCCAAAACTAGAGGGTATAGGTTTAAGGTGAAAATGGAAAGATTTGAAAGGGACCTAAGGGGCATTTTTTTTTCATGCAGAGGATGGTGCATGTATGGAATGAATTGCCAGAGGACATGATGGAGGCTGGTGTAAAAACAGCATTTGAAAGGCATCTGGATGGGTATATGAATAGGAAGGGTTTAGAGGGGTATGGGCCAAATGCTGGCAAATGGGACTAGATTAATTTAGGATATCTGGTGGGCATGGACGAGTTGGACCGAAGGGTCTGTTTCCATGCTGTACATCTCTGACTCTAAGGTATCTTCAGACTCTAGGACTCCGTGAAAGAAGACCTATCCAAGAGGATAGATTTCAGGGACACAGGGTTGAGGATGCAATTCATAAACCCGTGAAGAAATTTACAAACCAGGATCTAATCAATCACCAGGAATTGCAGTTGGAAAACTCAATAAATTCTTTCATGTTTTGATGGACAAAACCTGTAACCGCATAATTAAATGGGTGTTTCTCAAAGTCCACTGCACACAGCATGAACGTTTCAAATTGTTCACTATTGCAGTATATTGGTGACAATACCATGAGGATCCTGAAAGATCTATGCAGCCCTTTTTCTAGTTTATTTTTGAACTTAAAAGAAAGGTTGATATATATGGTTTGTACTGGTTGTAACATATTATTTTACTTAAACTAGAAATTCAACTCCAGAGGCCATAAGGATGCAAATTTGCTGTGTTTATTGTTCCATCAATGATAAAAATCCATTGATTGTGCTTTTATTTTATATTCACTTTGAATTAAGTTAAAATAGAAACTTGTTTTACTGTCTGACAAGCCAAATAAGATTTACTGGTAACCCTGTCAGTTTGGTTAATGTAGGTGTGTGACACTGCAGAGTCATTGAGAATTTCCAGATTTGTCATCGTGGATTTTTTAAAAAGAAATCTACAGCTGGACTATAAAAAGCGTATTGCTGGTTAGAAATCTTCATAATTTCTCCTTCAAGCTTGACTTGTTCTCTTCATCTGTGACTCTGTTTGTCTACACTCTTCTGAAAGAAACTTGATACACTTTTGAAAGGAAACCCTGGATTTACAAACCGTTTTAAATGGCACAAGAGCTCATTGGATTTGCGTGCAATGGTCTGCCTTCTTCACCCGACGAAAATGAATTGCCTTCTGGCTTTCCACAAAATATTTGTGATGATGTACCAGAGGAAAAATACCTGTGCAGCTTTTGTAAAAACATCTTGAGGAAAGCATGCCAAACATTGTGTGGACATCGTTACTGCTGGGCATGTGTCGAGTGGATTGTCAAGTAAGACATTTCTATGTTGTCTGCTGTCTTTTTACATAATTTGGGTGCTTTTGCTTAAAACAAAAACGCATGTAGAGGTTGCCTTTAAAAAGGAGACAATTATTGGTTTTGCAGTTTTGGGTTACTAATTGTTCAATACCGAGGATCAGTACCTTTTTGAACAGGAAAGTTGTCATTTAGTCTTGTGTGTTTAAAAAGGGAAGAGGAATAAAAATTGAACATCTTTAAATAAAAGTGAAATTTTGGTTTTGTCTATCTTGTATATTACAAAACGAAATTGCTATCTTTTAAAATTAAAATTAAATCCAGTAGAACTTGGAATTGTACCTAAATTTAATTGATTTAACTTTTCTGAGCTGCTCCTATTATTTTTTCACTTATTACCAAAAAGAAATATCTAACTTTTTTTGCGTTCTGCCAAGTTGAGAAATGTGATTATAGTACACATGATTCTCTAACTCTATTGAGAATCCTGTACACAGAGTTTAGTAACCACAAAAATATTTTTGCTGATCTTGAAAGCTCTGGTAAAACTAACTAGTGGCATCTGCACATTGGCTTTATTTAGGCATAATTTTTGATCTTTATATTACAATTATATCAATCCATGAATATTATTTGATACAACTAAAACTTAGAATCGTAGAGTCCCTACAATGCAGAAACAGGCCATTGGGTCCATTAGGTCTGTTATAACCCTTCAAAGAGCAGCCCACCCAGACCAATCTGACCCTTCCCCTCCACTTCTCCCCAACCTTATTCCCTGTAATCCTGCATTTCCCATGACTAATCCGCCTAACCTACACATCCCTGGGCACAATGGGCAATTTAGCATGGCCAATGCATCTAGACTCTACATCTTTGGACTGTGGGAGGAAACTAGTGCACCCGGAGGAAACCAACACAAACATGAACAGTACTCCACACAGACAACCACCCAAGGGTGGAATCGAACCTGGGTCCTTGGTGCTGTGAGCAGCAATGCTAACCGCTGAGCCACTGTGTCCCCTAAACTTAAAGGGGAATTGTGTATTTTTTTTCTTGGTAATAATTGTAATTCATCTGTGACCGGCTTAATGAAGATATTGATCTTGAAATATTTTACTGTATTGAACAGATACAATAAAACTCCAATCTGTCAAAAATGTAAGGAAGATGAACCTCCGAGTATAAATGAAGATAGTATTTTGGCCTTGGCAAAGGTATGTGATTATATAGAGAGGCATACAGTAAAGTAAAACTTTTCACTTTCAAAAAAAAAACAGCTACAGTTTAATATATAAAACTAGATGGAATAGTTGTAATCTTAAATATATTAGGTTTGTACATGTCATGAATATTCTATATTGAACTGTTTCCAGCATTTTCAGTTTTTACTTCTGAATTTCACTTTTGATATTGCATTGGGATACTCTTAACACCCAAATAATGTTTCAACATTTGGATCCCATCCTAGCAACAGCTCTGGGATAACATTTTCCTTGTAACTTGTTTCTCCCACAAATGTGTCAGAACCAATTTCTGACTAGCATGTTGGGAAGCCTTCAAAGTAATTATAAATAGGAGGAGTGATTCATGTTTTAGCAGTTTAATTCTGTGTTCCCTTTCCCTTAGGTAAAGTTGAAAATCTGCCTGGATAGCCTATTAAAACAAACCAACAGGGACCTCTTTCTTTAAAAAAAGTCTCTGATAATGTGAAATATTCTGTTAAGAAATCATGAATACAGATTTTAAAAAATACAAAATGTTAACAATAAAGTTCAAACTATTGTGATGTTTTGGCTAACAAAAATTAATTTGTATATATTTGACATCAAAACGATTTTGCTATTCCCTCACAACACGCATGCACATGCACATATTCCATGGATATCTACAACTTTCAGCCACCTTGACCAAGTATTCATTCTTTCATTTTTGTTGTTGGTACAATGCAAGGGATAATAATTATAACTTTCTATCTCAATGAACATTCCAGTGAAATTGGCATTTTTGTGAATAGCCCCTTATCAAAGGTAGTCTACATAATTTAGCATTATTTAATATTATATAAAACAATATTGATACAGAAAACGATATTACTCTATTACGTAATTTTAAGCATAATCTCAAGCTAGCGCTATGCTGTCTACAGGCCAATTGCAGGCACCAACCTAGAGGCCACCAACATTCAGGTTATATTAAGAAAATGCTTGCGTTAAGAAATGATTGAACTGATCATAATTTTCCCTTATTAACTCAAACAAGTATCTTAAAATTCTTAATGTTAAAATTTAAATACCATACAAATATAAATTAATTGTATTTTAGAAATTACTCATTCTCATATCAAAATATAACCAGGGTGAATGGTTATGTTAAGACCTCATACCTCACATACGGAAATTGCTGTTTCACATTGACATATTCTAACAGCTCTTCATGAAGACCGGATATATTGTGGCTACTTCACTAAGAGTTCGTGCATCATTAAATTCAAACAGGATATTCGTTTATGGCTTAAATCTTTCTTGAACCCTTAGAGGTGGATTCTCAAATCCACGACACAGTTCAGGGCTAGGCTTAATTATTTTTCTCTTTTCTTATGGGAAACCTGTGTTGACAATTGTAACATGTAGAGGTATATCGTGTATTTTAGAACTGGATCTGTAAGATACTAGAGGATTCCCCAGGGTTGTTCTGTTTCTATATTTGACTCACCAGCATGTTGTTTCTTTAAGCATGGCTTCCGTGAATGTGTGTTGATGACAGTTGGTCTCAAAAGATAGGCTGCTGCATTTCCAGGAGTGCAGCATATCAATATTTTGCATAAGTCCCCAAATGCAGGTTCAAAAACGGTCGCGGGCCCTGCTGGCTCAAGATTATGTGATTTGGGTTTCTCCCTGTAACACTAGTAATATCTAGTACGATCCTGATAGAACCAACCCCAAAGATAGGGGAGAAAAATTCAAACCTAAGAGGTATGCCCCAAAAAACCTTGCACGTAAGCTTCTGCGATTTTTGACAGAGGTTTAAGGTTCAGTTCTGTCCAGAAAAGGCTTTAACCACAAAACTAGCCACCCACCACTCTTGTCCTGGAATGAAAAAAATATTTTAATTGCTAAGAAACTGAATAGTGTACTTTAAAGAAAATAGTAGATGGTTCAGTACAATTTTGATTAACACATTTTGAATGATTTTTAAATCTGGTTGCTTACAAGTGGTCTACTGGACACACCTAGTCAAAATGCTTAATTTTGCTGAAATTAATGTTCAGCTATATTCATAAAACTGCACTGGATTACCTCTCTGAAATACATCAAAGAATACATGTTAATGGAAAGAGAACACAGTTTATTTTCCATTATACAATGCACTTGTGGTGGGTAATGGAAGATTTTTGACGTCTGATTACTGAATGGATTTTTAGCAATGATTTAAAACCCACACAATTTTGAACACAATTTTTCAATTGAGCCTGAGATGGAAACTCTACCTTTCTTTTTAAAACTCCACCGTGAGAAGTGTTCATATCTTTGCATAACTTGCTGTAAATTTAACGTTTGTATTTTAAATCTGTCTCCTCTCTAGTCATTGCATTTATGCACAAAATATGGTTTCATTCATTATCAAACTCTACCATGTTAATGTGTATTGTACAGTACAGTTTTGCATAACATGATGTTGAGTATTGTTCTTTAACTTAGATTCCAATTAAAAGTATTGTGATTTTGAAACAACATTGTTCAATTATGTATTCTCAGATATTTAAGTGTTGATCATTTTGTACTTTTAATTGCTGTTTCCACCAGGTTTAAGCGCTCAGACTTCAGAGAAAACCACTTTGTTTCATTAAAGAGACTTTTTAACCAGCACAGATAAACCATTATAATCATATAAACAATCATGATCATGAGTAAAATGAGGTATTTGTAACCTGCAAGAATTTCATGGCTAATTTCAATATTAACATTCCAAGTATCTATATTTGACCTTCTCAAATCTGTTTAGAAATCTTAATTTATGGTACTGGAACTAATACTCTGTTAACTTTTTTTATTTAGATTTTCAGTGATGCTGCAGTTTCTAAAGAGATTTTAGATTTGAAAGTACATTGTATCAATCCTGGATGTACCTGGAAAAACATATTGAAAAACTATGAGGTGGGTTAATTAATTAGTGAAAAGTTTCCAATCTTAAAATTTAAAGTAATTGTCATGTGTCAGTTGTCACATGAAAACAGGACCAATTGATAGGAAAAATAATTATTTTCGTTTCCACCTTTCTACAACTTTGGTGGATTTCACATGGTGAAGATGGCAAGTTAGCACAGCATGGTTCATGCTCTTAAAAAGACCCCACAGTGTTATCTTTTCAAATACTTGAATCCCCAATACCTTACATACAAGGCAATCAATATATGGATTCCTTTGAGTGAAATCAGGTCTAAATTTATACAATGATAGGACAATTTTAATACAGAAGGAGGCCATTCAGCTCATCATTTCTGTGGCAGCTCTCTGTGTGAGCAACATGGTTAGCCCTACTCCGCTGCTTTTTCCCTGCAGACAAGTAAATGTGTTCTCTTTAGGTGCTTATCAAAACTCAGATTAAATCAATCTCTAACACAGTCCAAAGGTCTGCATTCCACATGTGAACCACTCACTTTAAAAATAAAATTTCCTCTTGTCACTGTTAGTTCTTCTGTCTTTCACCTTAAGTCGGTGTCCTCAGGTTTGCTGCCCTTCCAACAATGGGATTTTTTTTCCCTACTCTTTTATGGACCACTCATGATTTTGAAAACAGATGTGAAATCTCCTCTTAAATCTTCCCTGAGGAAAACCTAGCACCTGCAATTTATCCGTGTAACTGAAGTCTTTAATCCCTGGGATAATTCTTGTAAATGTCTTCTGCACCCTCCTTAATGTATTCACAATCATTCTTAAAATGTGGACCTAAATTTGGACAAAATACTCCAGTACAGGTGAAACCAGAGTTTTGGAAGCTTCATCAGAAGCTTGCTTTTGTACTCCATGCCACCATCAAGATGGTGCTGGAGTGGGGCTCCTAAGCTGAAGCTCATCCATTCCGAGCACTTTTTTTTTTTCTTTTTACTCACCCCTTTTTTTGAGCTTGGACAGTATCAGTGATTGCAAAGAATCCCAGCGCGGATTTGAATGGGCCCAGCATGGACCTTGACGGCAAGGGGCCCAGTACAGACCCTGTGCAGCGAGGGAACCTAGTGTGGATTTGAGTTGGTCTAACGTGGACCTCGCAACAACGAGCAAACCCATACTTACTTTTTTGGACGAGCACAGGAGCAAGCTTTGGAATCAGCAGAGGCGACATTGGCGAGGTGGCCCAGTGGCAAACGATGGCGCCTGAGGATCAGCTACTTCGTTGGTTGGATCAGACACGGGTGGCAAAACGGTGGTGGAAGGGCATCAGCCAAGCTAGACCCAGCAGCGAGAGATGCTACTCTGACATTGGTGGGTCCACACAGGTGGCGGTGGCAGAGACGGAGGAGAATCGGCCAAGCAGCAAAAGATGGTGACCACACCGTTGGTTGGGTCCAGTGTAGATGGTGGTGAAGGAGGGACGGTGGCACAGCCGTTGATGATGAGCTGATTCAGGAATGATGGACTGATGCGGTATAATTTAAGTAAATGTGAGGTTATTCACTACGGAAGCAAAAACGAGAAAGAACATTACTACCTGAATGACTGTAAATTGGGAGAAGGGAGTGTGCAGTGGAACCTGGGTGTCCTTGTGCATCAGCCACTGAAAGTAAGCATGTAGGTGCAGCAGGCAATAAAGAAGGCAAATGGTATGTTGGCCTTCATTGCGAGAGGTTTCAAGTACAAAAGCAGGGATGTGTTGTTGTAGTTATACCGGGCCTTGCTGAGGCCACACCTAGAATATTGTGTGCAGTTTTGGCCTTCCTTTTCCGAGGAAGGATGCTCTTGCCCTCAAAGGAGTGCAGCAAATGTTTACCAGGCTGATTCCGGGGATGGGGGTACTGATTGTGTGTGGAGAGATTGACTAGGTTGGGATTGTTTTCACTGGAGTTCTGATGAATGAGGGGGGATCTCATAGAGACTTATAGAAATCTAACAGGACTAGACAGGGTGGATGCAGGGAGGATGTTCCATATGGTGGGTGCATCCAAAACCAGGGGTCACAGTCTGAGGAATCAGGGTAGACCACTTAGGATGGAGATGAGGAGACATTTCTTCACCCAAAGAGTGGTGAGCCTGTGGAATTCATTACCACAGGAAGCAATTGATGCCAAAACATTGAATGTATTCAAGAGGCGGCTAGATATAGCACTTGGGGCAAGTGGGATCAAAGGTAATGGGGAGAAAACAGGATTAGGCTATTGAGTTGGACAATCAGCCATGATCGTGATGAATGGCAGAGCAGGCTCCTATCGTCTATGGTTCTGTGACTCTCTTTAAAGCTACATCTTTTGTTCTTTTATTCTTATAGAATAGAATCTTATGGAATCCCCAGTGTGGAAACAGGCTATTTGGTCCAACAAGCCCACACCAACCCTCTGAACAGCATCGCACACGGACCTTTTTTCTTGAAACTTTTTCTAATTCTTAAAACTATTCAAAATAGCGCAGGATCTTGGCAACAGTGGAAAAGCTTTTCACTGTATTTTACTGTTCTTCTTACTGTAAAATACATGTGGCACTAAAGTCATTAATTCATTATTTACAAACATAGAATCCTAAATGGTTTTTAAAATCACTTTCCTAATTTTTCTGCCACTTTCAAATTATTTGTGCAGATGTAACCTCAGTTATTTCTTTGTTCTACCCACCATAGAACTGTATCCTTTATATTGCATCTTTCTTTTCTCCCCCATACCAGGTTGTATTACTTCTCAAAAACTGAAAAAACTGCAGATGTTGTAAATCAGGAACAAAAACTGAAGTTGCTGTAAAGGCTCAGCAGGTCTGGCAGCATCTGTGAAGAAAAAAATCAGAGTTAACATTTCAGGTCTGGTAACACTTCCTCAGAACATACTGAGGAAGGGTCACCGGACCTGAAATGTTAACTCTGATTTTTCTTCACAAATGCTGCCAGACCTGCTGAGCTTTTCTGGCAACTTCTGTTTTGTTCCTATATTACTTCACACTTCTGCATTAAATTTCATCACCTACATTTTTGCCCATTTCACAGCCTGTCCTCTTGAAGTCTGTCAACTGCAGGCAGGATAGAGATAATGCTTTCAAGTTTTGTGTCACTTGCATACTTTTATTATGCCTTGCACACCCAAGTCCAACATTTAACACCAACATTTAATATAGATAAGAAAAGTGTTGGGGTTAAATGTGTCTGCAACAGCAGTTCTTTTCCAAAATAGATGTTGTTGACTTGAGGATATTTTATTGGTCGAGATCCAAAATTTGTTTCCGCCCAAGATATTCGATAGAAACATTTTAAATCTTCACAACAGTAAGAATTTTGGTTCATATACTTAAATTATCTAAAGTTCTGACTTTTACTGACCTTACCTTTGGCTTTTCGTAGTCCTACCTTGTAGCATGCTTGCCACTTGCATTGTGGTGAAATATTAGCACTGCTTTACGTTTGCTTCATGGATAGCTAAGACTATATAAAATTGTATTATTTCTTTGAGATAAAGTATGCAGTACTGCTTTTAAAAAGATATCAGTGTTTTGATTTTAACTGCAAAGTATAATTTCAGTCTAACCATAGAACATAGAACAGTACAGCACAGTACAGGCCCTTCGGCCCACGA